AGCCCGGCTAGATGGACGAACAAGGAAATCCTAACTAAGAAGAAAGCAGGAAGGGCCAGGAAAACCCGCTGAGAAATCCCAAAAAGACAAAGGAAAGGTTAGTAGCAAGCCACGTAGGCCCCGAAGGGCGAGTCCACTCATTCAAGCGGGAAGCGACGCACGAAGCGCGCTAAGATAGGGGGCCCCCCCCCAGAGCCTCCAAGGAGACAGTGCAATACCATGGAGGGAAGGAGGAGACCAGCCGGCCGTGGGCGATAACCGGGGGGAGGGGAAGGTGTAGCAGTAGGGTGCCAGCCGATCCGACCGTAGGGAGAGGAGAGCGGAGGGGTAGACCCAAAGACCTTTAACACCATCTATCGGAAACGCATTCGTGTCTGACTAGGCAGCCTCTTAGGGAATCAAGAGAACGGAGGGATCGACCGTAGCCTGTTGGCTGTTCCCTCCTACTGCGACTGTAGTCCCGGCGTCTGACGATGGTGGTTAAGGGGTTGCCGACCGTGAGAAGGCTAAGCGAGGCCAACTCAGGAGGAGGATAGGACTCCCCACCACACGTGGAGGGAGGAGAAAAGGGGGAGTAAGGAAGGTCATCAACGGCCGCCTGGGCCAGCATGGCAGGCGTTTTACCGCGTCTCTCATGTAGTCCCTTGTTCTGGGAGAGATAGCGTCACTATAGTGGATGGGATCCCACCACCTGCCAGCCAGCCAAGGAGGGCCTCCAACCGACCAACCCCCAGGGAGAGAGAGGACCCTGGGACGGTAGACCGAAGTCAATACCTCCGGGTGGGAGAGGAGAGAGGAGCCAGACTCCCCTAGGCCGAGGCCAAAGGCAGGAGTGGGCGGGAGGGAGGAGAATGTTTCGCGATGAAACAAAAAACTCACGATAAAAACCGTGGTGTTGAGTTTTCAATCGCCGGAGGTGTAGCGGAGACGGAGGATGTCTGAAAGCTAAGGAGGCACCTCGATATTTATATTCCGCGTCTGGGCGGTCGCGGGCTACATCTATCTATCACCAAACAATGTACCATTCCCAATTCCTACCCCCTACTATCATACGGGGATCCAGTTTGACCCTGACAAACTTTACGTCTTGCTCGGACTACTGTCTCCATGCGTTGTCGTGTTTCCGCGAGGGCGTTTGAAACCTCTCCGGCGAAAACGCATGATTCCTTCGTCTCGGAGGTTTAGGTATGAGCGAGTGGTCTCACCTCGAGCCAACTCACCATCCTCCTTATTCTGACTGGAGTGATCAGCTCAGTCGAGAGTCTTATCAAATACCTCATTGTCTTCACAACTTGACTGCATTGACTTGGAGGACTTTCTGCCACGATCGGACTAGTCAATGTCGTAGGAAAGTTCCTCATCCACAGATAGGCCTCCGGTTGGCTCTACACTGTGCGAGCACTAGACTGGGCTCCGTGCCTCGTCCTTACGGGCACGTCCCGATAACTCATTTGACTGTTGGCGATTTCGTCCCAACATCTTCTGTCCCTGTCCAAGGTGGTCAACCTCGCTTAGCCCGTAGCTCCACAGTTACCAGTCCGATTGACTCCATTCCACTTTTCAGACACGGCCTGAGGTCCTCTCTTATACATCCTGCGAACAGCCTCTGGTCAGACAGACGGTGACGACGTATACGTTGTTATGAAGCATGCTTCGTTTTCACCGGCTTATACTGTCGGGACACCAAATTCTGGCAACACTATTACTGCGTGCAGTGCGAACGGCGGGGCCGGACGGGGGTGTTGGCTATGAAATCTTCGCGGTTTTTCAGGAGGTCTGTGCGCGGGGATGGTCTATGTGTTCATATGTGTAACATATTCTTCCCCAGCCTGCCTCAAAACTCCTTTTGCCCAAGAGGAGCGTAGTGTACTTGCTTCGAAATATGACTCATCAGTGAATAGAACATTAGCAAAATTAAAGTTCTGATACTTCAATGCCCACTCCAGTCTTGCAGCCTTGGCCTGAGTAGTCAGAAAAGGTTTTCTGGTAGGCCAACAATGGTGGATTCCATCAGTAGCGAGGATATTCAATAGAGTGTTTCTGCAAATAGACAACCTTGACTCTGTAATAAGCTCCTTAAGAGACTTCCTGCAGTGTGTGGCATCCTGAAGTGCGAGGGCAATAACACGCTGCTTTTCCTCAACAATTAAAGCTTCATTATGACCTTTCTAGGAGGTAGGAGAGGGATGCAGATTTTCTTCGGAGTATGGATTAGGAATGCGAGTCTGAAGTATGCGCAGTGATGAGAGCCGAACGATATCTGAGCAGGTCACGAGAGGCACCTTTGCTAAAGCTGTAATTTCACGGAGCAATAACCGCATATTTCCCGACAAATTCACAAGAGCCACTATTTGCCCCTGCTTCAATAGAGGTAGTAGGTCCTCGTTGCTGCCCCATACTTCAGTCTTTCCTATTACCACAATCTCTTAGCACTAATCTTCATGAAATCGAGTTTTTTTTTAACAAGAATTGTAGTCACCACAGCACCACTAGCAATGAGTCCTACCTGATTTGTGCAATTGAACTTCAAGTTTGAATAGGTCTGGGGAGGTACGATCTACCAAGTCTTTTGTGAAGTGGCCTCTTCTGGACCACCGGTATTTATAAACCCCATATGGCTACCCATACCGTCAGCATCCATAAACCTCATCATGACTCAGATCAGAATTCTTACCTCTATTGCCACTACTCTGATTATTTCTACATAAATTATCGTCATTATTTCACTCAATTTCCTTTTTAAGATAAGAATGATGTTAGCAATCTAATTTTGTACCATTTCAACTAGTTCCGGAGCACTGCTTATAGTTACCAGATTCCGAAAACGCCATGACAACATAGGTACTGACCACTCGACCGCACCGACATGCTATTTTTAAGAATCGTGCACAAATCTAAATCAAAGTGCTTAGGTTAGTGCCTATTGACAACAATGAAGCGTTCAAAATAAATTACTATCCATCACAGGGGCATATTTTTAATACACCATCGCATTTTTAAAAGGGCGACAGGGACTAAACGAGAGAAATGAAAACTATCATGAAGGAACAGAAATGAAAGAGTCCCATCTCCAGCACACGATTTGGGGGCAGGTGGGGAACTTGGTTCTTATTCACGTGGCTCTCTCCATACTAAATTTATCGCTCCACTCAACTAACTAAACGATAAACACTGGTGTGCTCGCATATATACGAATCGCGACAAAGGAATCCTCCAATCCTTCTACGGATATCCAGTTTCATCCAGGTACGTCTCCCTTTCCTCTGCTACTCCCGTACTAACAAAAAGACAGGCTTAGCTAAGACTAACCTCATACAGACTCCCACTTTCCGGGGCCTTCGCTCCACTCTGTTCATTCCCTTTGACTCTTCCGCTCCGAACAGATACATGATCTGCTTCCAAGTGCACACATCACTTCTTCCCATGTTGTAGTACAGCCTGATAGCCTCCCCACGCGGTCCACCAAAATGAACCGTAAATTGCGCCGAGTTGTTTCTTACAATTTTTGTAATTCCGACACCTGAAATACAGTTAGTGTGGGGAAGGAGTATAACAAGGAGAATGACTTATCATAATTGTCCATAAAATGTCTATCAGCCCTCTCCCAACCTCCGTGCCTATAGGCGAGGGGCCCGTCGTACAGACCCATCCTCATATCTTGCTCCTGACTTCCCCGGCCGGTAAATATTTGGGCAGATACTGGTTGCTCGACTTCTGCCTCTCCCACAAGCACCTTCTTTGGTTTTCTTTCTTGGTGGACCCCACCTCCTCTACTCGTGCAGCCGAGTAGCTGTCACGCAACCGAAGCGAGTAGCGATGGCCTGGTCAATCGGCATTGTTATTATTTTTGGATGCGGTGATCAAGTACTGAATTCAGGAAATTTATGCTGACATGACCCAGGAGGAAAACCTCCAGCCAATGAACTCCCACAACCACGACGACGACCTCCCCCCCCCCCCTCTTTCCTGTAATGTGCTGTGCCGATGATACGTTCCAGAATTGGGACTCATTAATTCAGTGGTGGGGTGGTGGGAGAGCATCGTGAAAACCTCGGGTGTGCGTGCGGTATATTAAATTCACAACCGGACTGAATCTAGTACGAAGGGGGCGGGGGAAAGTCTGGCGAACGTGGCGGTGCATGTTGCGGCGCAATTACCCCGTGATTGATCCTGTATATACAATATAACTAGTAACTGAGTGGTTTTCATTTCCGAGTCATGATATGCTTCAACCTGAGTAGTATTGGGCAATTTTCACGATGGTGTGTTATGGTCAAATAACTACGTCAACCACTCTTCCTGGACAGAGCCATCGCCACATGCACCGCCACGTTCGCCAGACTTTCCCCGACCCCCTTCGTACTTCATCTGTAGCCTTATGCTAATTCCTGTCAGTCCGACGATCGCTACTGCCCAAGTATCATAGCTTCGCGCATCGATGAAGCTCATTCCACTCGAGCACTAATACTTGAGGATGTTTGTTTTGAAATGTTTCCTATCTTGTTGCTCATGCGTTAGCAGTTACTCTCATGGTTGTTTGGTTGTTTGCGTCCATTCATCTGAATAACTCTATTAGTACAAGATGGTGGTACAAAATAATTACACCATCTTAATGATACAAAAAAAGCCCAATTTACAGGCACTACTCAGATACTACAGGTAATAGCAAAGACACTTTAGACAAAAAAAAACAAGGAACAAAAATACGAAAATACAAAAAACAAAAAGAAAAAAAAGAAAAAAGAGGGGGATAATAACGATAGAAACTTGCAAGTGGCTCTTCCTCGAGGTGGACAGAGCAAGAAAATACTTGCACAAATCACCCCTAACCACAACCCAAGCCCCCCTTCTCCCCGGTGGGATCACCAGGATAAACTGAGACCACGCGGTATTGGCGGTTAGAGAAGTGGGGACTTTGCTACCCGAACAGCAAGAGTAAAGAAAAGGAGGGAGAGGAACGAGAACGGCGAACTAGGTGGGAGATACGGATCAGTAGCGGGCTAGTAGCCCAGATGTTCGAGTTCGGAATCGCTACCTATCCCATCTTGATCAGTGACTGAATAACAACTATTAATATAACTCGAAGAAGAAAAAAACTTACAATTGCTAAATACCAATGACCTCTGTTTCAGAGTGGTATTGGGCCAGTCGCTTGGAGATATTCTCCAGAATGACCAGAATGCCTGCTCAAGAACCGAGCGCAGTTTCTCCCCACAATAAGGAAGGATCGCGATGACATTGTCACCGGCCACCTGGTGGCCGGCGGTATTCCGCATTGCCATCACCTCACACCACTAATTCACAAGGTTAGCAACTGACTACCAATTTCCCTACTACGATAAAATCTCTTGAAACCCACTGTGTTGATAAGCGCACTATTCTGGCGATTTAACAACAGAAGCCTTGGAGAATGATTAGTGCTTTCCTAGCGTGGTATAACAAGGGTCATTTGGCTGTGTTGGATCTCATCAACTTGTGAAACTAAGCATATCTTAGGTAGATGCTGCGACTTACCGGGATATTGGTAACACGACAGAGGTAGTGGATTTCAAGAGATTTTATAGATCTCGCCCCCCTAACCACTCTCCCCGCAGGGACCACCACACCCGACCAGCAGTGGCAGCAGAGAGCCTTCCTAGCGGACCTGCTACAATCAAGCGCCCACATCCCCACTTTTCCCAAGTAGGGCCAATTCGTGGTACACGTTCGAGGCAAGAAGTATCGGAAAATACGAGTTGTAGGTTTGTCTAAGCGCCCACCTATGGACAAGCGTTTCGTCTTACTCGGGTATGGACATTAGTGATGAGACAGACGGAGGTTTTTTAGTCAAACCATGCAAGGAAAAAAAAACTCAACCCAGCGGCAGCGATGCGAGAAACAGTCGGAGGTTTTGACATTAACAATCCGGTCCATCTCATCTCTAATGTCCATACCCGAGTAAATTTTGCGAATACCTATATTCGGAACTCCTTGCCTGTGACGAGTCCAACGGGTTTCGGCTAACATCTTGGTGAAGTAGAGATTGCAGGAAGCGTTGGGGTAGTTAAGCGTGGGGGAGGGGGGGGTTGAGCTCAAAGTATTTCTTAGTTACGTTTTTATATGGAATGAAACTAGAACTTACTATATCGCCAAACTCAACCACCTGCCAGTCGTTCTCATATCCCAGTTGCAGAAACCTGTGCCGGAGTTTGCGAATTCTTGCGACACGATTATCCGGCTTACCGGGATTCTTCTTTCTCTCCTGAGGAGGGATTCTGATCCTGGGGAGGGTTCGGCTCCTGAGGACGGAGTTCCGCCGCCTCATTATAAATGGCCTTCATTACCACGGCCGCAACGATGGGCACCACGGTAGACTTCATCACGGTCAGCGTTCGCAGGCGGCCAGGCCGGCCTACAGATAGCCTACAAATCCATAGTCCGGCCCGGCCAGGCCTTTGTGAAGCCTGCAGGTAACATGGATGCCTGGGGGCACCGGGAGGGTTTTCGGCATATGCCACCTGATCAGTAAATACTTCGTCTGTGCACAGCTGAATCAGGAGATGCCTGCTGATATCTGGAGATGCCCGAAGATATCTGGAGATGCACGAAGATATCCGAAGATGCCAGAAAGATATCTCGACATGCTTGTGGATATCTGAAAGCCTGCAGATATCTACAGTCCTGCAGGGCCCGGTTATATAGGCCGGTAAAGCCGGACTATGGCCTACAGTCCGGCCCGGCCGCCCTGGACCTCAATCCTGGCCGGACTGGCCGCTTGCGAACACTGATCACGGTTTCTAGTTTCTCGGATAATTTTGTCTCCTTGGAAGTGTGGTCCCGGTCCTTTTCTTCGAGCTCTCGTATTTTCTTCCTTCCCTTCGCCCGCTTTTTTTGCTAAGCTCCGTTTCGGTCCTCCTATATCAGAAGTTGCTCTTTTAGCAGCCTAATCTGCTCCCTTGAAGACTTTGTCAGCCCTCCCGGGTTCTCACTCCTATGTAACGTGTTACTCGTAGAGTCCATTAAGATCCCTGAGGTAAAGTGTTCTAGGGATGATTACGGTGCAGAGGAAGGGCTGTATAGGGGGATTCCAAAGAGATAGGGGATCGTGATAGCCGATAGGGGGGACAATAGGAGGTTGTACGGGTGTTGGCGGAGTATCAAGGTTGGTGGCCTTCCCCACAGTTATAGTCGTATCTAATCCATGACATTGAGATATGACAGCTCTCGTGACGAATCTTGGCATCGTCACTATCAATGAGCTTGGTATCTAGGTAGAATTGGGTTGCGCACTATGCTACGACATTAAGATATCCAAGAGTGCCGCGTCAACAATATGGGAGAACGTCACATGCGAACTGAAGAATTTAGAAGCTGGTAGGGAAATTGACCGGAAGGTTAAAGTAATAATACCCCCCCCCCCCCCCGCCTCTTTGGCACGCCAATTGATCTAACAGTTCACAGGTCTCGGAAAGATAAGCCGAATGACCCAGGAGAGCATCAGATGACCCGAAACCCGAGAGAGAACCTCTGCACGCTCGTTTGAAGAGACTACGCAAATCCACGAACGTATTGCTGAAAATGGTATCCAGCTTTCTCTTGCCCTCCACCAGATGCATGAGGACCTTGCGGAATTGCCAAACAACATAGAGAGGGACGGAAAGCGCTGAAAGAAAATTGGCTTGACACACGAAAAGAAACTCCACGAAGCCGAATTGGTCGTAGACAAGGTTCGTCCCCTAAAGTTAGCCGCTCTAATGTTCTTACTCATCTCCGCAGGCCGAGATCAAGTGTAGCACTCCCGCAGTAGAGTGGGATAAGGCTCGATCGGGTGATTGTCGCTCTGGAAAGACTCCCTTCAGTTTGAGGGGCACCAGGAATGGACCGCGGCATGAGGAGGATCTCCAACATAAATTTGCAGCTACGGATAGTGAATATCACACTAGAGTCCAGATTTCCAACACGTAGAGGCATGACGCCATAAATTCTCTTCGTCCACAGGCTGTACGAGCCTTGCGTGAGATGATTGCGGAATGTGACGCTGCTTTGATTGTTCAGCTTCAGCGATTTGGCATGTCTGTATGCGTCAGGGGTGCGATAGAATTTATATGCTGATTGTTTAGCTCAATTCAAAGAGAAGCTCCTCCTCCACAACGGCCCCAGCGTGAGTCCTATGAAAACAGATGATGCAGATCCAAATAGCGCCCAAAGCATGCGCGATGTCAAGATGATCAACAACGACAAGAACTTTGAGAGTTTCGTTTTGGACCTAGCGAACAAAGTTCACCCTCAAGCTAGGAACCAAGAAGTTAGATGTGAGCGACATCCAGTATGAATGCTCCCCTCAGAGATCGCTTCACCGGCTAACCATAGCTGGCGGAGTTTAAACCAGCAAACACCCAGCGCGGTAGTACCACCCACCTCTTCGGCCATTTCCATGCAACCTCAAAACTACCAGGCCAACAAACCCCAAGGTATATGCATGGGCACTAGTCAGATCACCGTGACATGATGGGCTAAGGCTAAGACTTACAACAACAACCCCAAGGTTTCGGAGCAGTCGTTCAGCAAGCGGCGATCTTACCCACCCTGCACCCGATGCCCAATCTGGAACACTCTCACTCTCAGTACGACATGGATTACCCTCATCTTAGACCGGTTTTTGGAGTTCCCCTCGATACGCTTCTCGCCGGAGCCGGTGGGTCTGTTGTCCCGATTGTAGTATTGCAATGTGTCCAACTCGTAGACCTTTATGAGCTAGATGTTGAAGGAATCTATAGAGTTTCCGGCGAAACAAAGCATGTTGAACGGATAAAACGGATTTTTATAATGGTATGGTTGCTTGTGAGGCGAGACGTATGTGGTGCTAACGTTGCGGACAGACTCTTCAGCCTTGGATTTTTAGAAAATGGGAAGATTCTTTTTACTAGGTCAACAATGGCGCCAGTATCCCAAAGCAGTCCCCCCGCTACCTACCAGAGCCTCTCCTCACGAACGCCTTATATCAGGATTTTATCAAGGCGTCGCGTAGGTTATCCGTGGATTTTCAAGTTTCAGGCTGATTGCACTCTGGAATTGAAGATGCTTCTACTAATGCAACCGACAGACCTCGATGATGAGACCATTCGCCGAGACTCTTTGGATGAATTGATCAACAGGTTGCCTGACCCTAATTACGCCACCTTGCCAATCCTGATCCTGGTGGGTTAATGTCGTTAACGCGCGGATGTCTTATGGGCCAATTTCTAATACGTGCATATATAGCATTTGTACAGGATCCAAGCAAACTCTAGTATCAACCGAATGAATTCAAGTAACCTTGCTATCTGCTCCGGGCATGCTGTGGCCCTTTGTGTAATTAAGGCGGGCGATGGCTGCTGACAAATTATAGACCGACTCTGATGGGTTCTAATACCTCCCCTAATATCGCGGATGCCAACTGGTAGGTTCGTGTTATTGATACTATCTTACAATACTGCTTCTCAATCTTTGTAAGTCCTCATACTCTCTACCTTTGCTCGAGAATTGCTGACATGCTGTCGCTGACATGCTGTCGCAGGACGATGACTGAGCGCCGAGCCACTAGCTAGACTTTATTGTTTATGCTTCTATCTTATGATGCCTTTCTTCTTTATCCCTCCTTCCATACTTACATTTCAAAGTTATATTTCAAGGATACCCATTGCCCAAAATCTGTATCACCTCGGACCTATTTCCTATGTTTAAACTTCTATATGATATAACCTTGGTTCTTCTCAATTTCTCCCGTCAAGGATTACCTCGAGTTTCCTCATACAGGTAGTAACCTTTACACTTCCTGTGCAAATTGGGAAGCCTTCCCACCGTAGTTCACCACACCCGAGCCTGCTATGCCCAGCGCAAAAGATTTCTTGCGATTCAGAGCTCTCCGGATATTCGCAATGTGATAGTGCAGCGACAGGTGTTGTTTTCCCAAAACGCGCAGGTATCATAGCAGCCTGCGTGGCGTGGCTTATCCGTAGTGGGGAAGAAAAGGGAAGACACCTTGCTAGCGTGTGCTTTGGGCTAATAAAACTCTCTGGAGCTGAGCGCTTCAGTCGCGATAGCAGGTGTATTCACTGTACTGCACAGTACCTATGTTCTCATCGCGTATTCGGAATCTGGTAACTAGAAAGTGTCTTTCCAAGCTAGTAGAATTGGTACTAAAATAGGATTACAACATCATGACCTGGTAATACCGTAAATCCACTATCTCCGTCTGCCCGCCCCCCCTGAGAAAGGATTAGCATTTTTCCGATACAGTCAAGATAGGACAGCTAGGTGTGTGTTGGCTCTTGCTAACCGGTATCCCCAATTCGTTAACCTGCTGGACTAAACCTATAGTGGGATGATGGGGGGGGGGCCGGTGAGTGGACTTTTAGGAGATTTTATGGTACTCCCTTGTCGGATTAAGATCGTCCTTTTTTTTTTGTGGGTCACCAGGAAAAAAGCCAGGGATGACTTCAGTCAGGCTACTTGAGTGAGCGATCGAGTAACTTCATATCGAATCGTGACCAAACTAGCTATTATCATACCCATATTGGAATGATATATTAGGACTAGGTCCTTACTACTAATTGCTGGCTCCGAATACACGATGAAAATACAAGTACTTGGCAATTCATAAAGTATTCGGATGCCTTGACGCCAAGATATACCAACCAGCACACTAAATCTTGGCGTCAAGGCATCCAAAAACCTTATCTTCCGCGCACACTACTCCTCACGCACCTCGAGTCACTAGACTAGCTCATCACCATCACATTAGCTCCACACCGCAAACTTCCACAGCCCAAGTGATAACTCGGAGAGCATACTTTGTTCATTCAATAAGCGCAGCTACCTACATATACCCACCATACTTTATCCCTCCATCCAACCGATTACGTAGAGCACAGCCTAACCATGTTACCCCCACAACAAAAGGGAAGAAAGTAAAATAATGAAAACGGGATGAAATAAACAGAGACCGCCGAGTGATAAAACGTGAAAGAACCCACCCATAGAGCCAAACAGTGGGGGATAAGGGGAAGAGGGAAAAAAACAAGGAAAAAACGAGAAAAAAAACGGGGAAGAAAAAAAAAAGAAAAGAAAAGAAACGTGATCTCTAAGAATATAATATTTGGAAAGAATGCCTAGGGCTTCGAGTGAAGCGGGGATCGGAAATTAGTGGCACATGGTCCCCGTAGCAATAGAAGGTAGCTGCCGCAAGGTCGCCACCCCCGCAAAGAGAATGCTAGGGCAGCTACGGAATAATAGGTTCTGGGGAGAAAGGAAAGAGAGGGGGAGGGTGAAATTGAAAATTTGAAGGGAAATAAAGATCTAGGCGGGTAGGAAGGAGAAAAAGATTCTGAACCTCTCCATCTCCCAATTCCCGAACGTTCCATTAGTACCGTTGACGGTGCCATTGGTCGTTCCGTTAACACCGTTACTAGTGCCATTTATGGCGGGACGGTGGGCGGTAGTTACGAGCGTACATTCAAGGGTGCTCACGCTCCCGGGACTGGGGCGGAACTCATAAGGGGGCTCTTCCTTCTTTTTCTGCAGACTGGGGTTAGGGTTTAGGAGTCTCGGGGTGTTGTTGTTCGCTCTGAGCTCCACAGTTAGCTTGTATGCCCTGTTGTGCAAATTCGCAGTCGACAAAACGGGAGTGAACACTACGACCCCTGCTTCCGGAGGAAGGTGGATCGAAAATTGTGTCATCAGCTTTCGATCGTCGGGAAAGAGTTCCTGGCTGAACTTGCTATCAATGCTAGTCAGAGCGGCAGCGAGACGCACGCTACTTATTATAGCAGTACTAGCATCTAAGGATAGCACGTTAGTCCAAAGCTTCGATACGTTATACTTGTAATCGGGATTGAATACCCTTGCCATCAGGACGGTATCTTGGCTCCTCGGGCCCCGCATTAGGCTTCGGGTGTGGCAAAGCCGAAGGTGCGGGTGTCGAAGCACTGGGCTGCGGGGCAGGGGAATGCCCGTTTGGCGCAGGGGTAGCACTATGCCGTTGTGGGGGAGGAGGCATTGCTATATTTGGCGCCGGTGAAGATACCTGGGGCTGGGGCGTTCGAGGATTGGACCTAGCCCGCAGGGTTATCGAATCATTCGCCGGGCTCCTCGATCTCCCGCTTTGGGTTGAAGGTGTCATATTTCCAGCGCCAGGCTTTGGTGACTGGGAGGCCGGAAGTACCAGTAGGTTCTTTTGATCACGTGGAGCAGCCAGTGGAGGGAGCGATGTCACCGGAGTAGGAGGGGTGGGCTCCTTTTTTGATCCCTGGGGGGGTCCGCCCGACGAATCATTGGATCTACCTCGGACGGGTCGTGTGCCATTGGCCTGTGCAGCAGCCGGGGACTCGAGGCTTGAAGACGGTCCATCAACTAGTGCCGCACGTGTCGCGCGCAGACCATTGACGGGAGGCTTCTTGGGGGCCCGCTGCACCCGTTGCGAAGGTGGAGGCGAGGACTGTGAAGCCACAGATGGACTATCTACAGCGGATTCCCGGCGGCTTCCAATATTGAGTTTGATTCTCGGCCCTCTAGGGGTGGGAGCTGGCTCTTGCGGGGTTGGTTGTGTCTGGTGTACATTGAGACGCAATCTGATACCACTTCCGCCACTTTCCGCATTCCCAACCCTTGCTCTCGCCTCACTCAGAAGTTTGTGGAATTGGGCCTAGCAACGGGCGGGGAAGGTGTCAGCCACCCTTTTTGCGGGGAAAAATGCGGAATCGTGCACTTACATCTAATTTACGGACATCTTCCACGATGCTACTCTGCTCGTCATTATACTCTTCAGCATTTGAACGAATCAACCGGACCGCTGACTCGAATTCAGCCCATGTAGGGTAATCCCCAGAGGATATCCCCTTTTTAATGAGTTTGAGCGAAATGGGTTGCTTGATCACCCGAAAATATTCCCCGTGAAGCTTTTTGCTCGGGAGGTTAGTGAAGAAGTGTGCAACCGACTCACCCCTAGAAAGTAAGAGCAAAAAGGCGATGTTAGCAAGTTTACGACAGGAACTCAGCGAGAAAGCAATTGGGCGGCGGAATAGGATGAATGGGGTCACTCATCCTTTAGGAAGTAAAGATCTGGTCCCAAGGCAGAGAATTTTCTTCAGGGAATTTGGAAGGGAGAGGGGGGGATCCTGCACTGATAGACTCACTTTTCATCGGTAAAAGCCAGCAACTCGTCAATGATCTCATTTTGTGCCTGTTGTAAAGTTGCCGGATCATTCCTTGCATTCCTACCCGAGATTCGTCCGCCGTGAATTGCTTGGGCAGCTTCGTCTTCCTTCTTGACATGGCGGTTAGACTGTTCGGCAATAAAGCCCTCTACAACATTTCTTATCCGCATAGAATCGCTATGGACCTGACTCTTGGGTTTGTTGTATCCAGCGGCATTCTGGCACATCAACAAGAAGTCTGCCTCCGCATCTGCCAAAGAAGCATATTCATTCCTGTGAATCTTGCCCTATTGCACCAAGCGGTAAGTATGAGAAGGAGTTAGGGGAGGGGGGGTTTTCACGTACCTGTATTTCGGCCAAGGAGATGGGTTTCGTGACTTTTTGGTAATAATCGGGATAATCATCCTTTCGAATTGGTTAACGTTTAGCCCGTTGGCAAGAGTTATGGCGGAGAAGCGAGGAGCTTACCTGGGGCACTAGCACCTCAAAGTGCTGACGGATAAAACGGTTCCTAATCCGTCAGATAAAGCAGGGGAAATCATTAGAATGGGCTAAAATTTAGCGGAACAGGGAGGGCGGTCACATAAGGTCAGTTGGAAGGGGGGGGGGGGCATAGTGTAGGGGGAGGGTGAAGGGGTTAAAGGGTGAATGATCGATGGTGCGGGATGGTACCTCTCCTTATGGTTCCATACAGTGTCGAATAGAGCTTGGGCGATAGCTGTAGGAGTATTCAGAGCCTAAGCATCACACGTTAGAGCATCCGTCAGTCAAAATAACGGTCGTGCACAAGCCGAGCTTCGTCCAGGGATGCAAACAAGTGAAAGGGGCGGGGAAGACGGAGGGGAGCGGCCTCCGTTCCCCTTTCGCGCGCGCATCCCGGGTTCGGTATGAAAGGTGTTCCCCATGGGCCGGGAGAGAAGGCCAGAAATGGGGAATCACCTCGGAAGGGCGGAGTTCGAGAAAAACTTACCGATTGCTTGCGCCGTTTCCGAGCCCGATCGTCGCTATCCGGCGTTGGCGATGCCCGCGAAACCTTGCGCTTATCCATCTCGCAGGGTATGCTGTGGTTCGAGGTTTCGTCGGGTTATATATATATGGAGGAGGAAACGCGACCGAAAATTCGCGACTGGAAGAAGGTTGGTGAGGCGCGCTTCTTTTCTTTTCTTTTTCCCTTTTCCTCTTCCTTCCTTTTTTTTTAATTTTTTAATTTTTTTTTACACCACTACGACCCGTGATGAGCAAGCTATGGTGGGAAGGGAAAGATGGCAACGACGGCCAGGTTCTGGAGGAAAAGAGGGAGGTGTAAAAAGCGTGATAATTTAGCAAGGAATTATGGTTGGAAGTGGAGGGTATTCGACAGTCGGTATGGCGCTCCGTTTCGCTTTCCCTGGTGGTGAGATCGCATCGTGGTTGCTCCGACAGGGAAAAGCCACAGCACCTCTCCCGGCACAGGACCCCTGACCGCGGGCAGAGGGCGCCAAGTCTGGAAGCAACAATGCGATTGTTCCGCTGAGCCACATATTATATCACGACTATCAGAGCACACCGCACACAGCAGCACTGGATTATTCCCGGGCTTTCCTTCTGTTGACGGCAGCAACAATGGCCGTATCGTACCATGCTTGGCCCAAGCCTCAAGGGTCAAGGCTCCGTTGCGGCTTACCGGCACGCACTGCGGGTTGCCGCCATCGCAGGGTATGATGATAGTACCGTAATCCGCTTCATGATATAATACCAGCGGATTGGGTTACTGTACGTACGATCGTACCGTTCATCCTTCCATCGTCTTCTCCCGAATAAAGAGAACAGGGAGTCGCCACCATGGCAGCGGAGACGACGATTCACAAGCGCCAGTGTCATAATTGCTGCTGCTGCGGATACTGTAGTACGGTAAATTTGGTACCGTAGGGGCCTAGTGCCCGGTGCCCTTCCCGCTAACCTGCTGTGATGCCCGTAATCACCGTAACGATACGGTAATCTACCGTACCGTACCGGCACTGTACCGCACCGCACTGCACCGTACCGACACCGATGCTCTTCCCCCCTCCTCCCCATCACTCGTCCCTCACCTCACCCATATTTCCCCTCCCCAAGGCCATATCGTACAAGTAATACGGTGTTTGCCCGCCACTGTATTGTTCTCACAGCCTCGGCTCCTTCCCCCTGATCTCTCACCACGCAACCCAATCTCTCCTGATCTCCAATCCTCCCTGCCGGTGCCCTGAAACCTTGATCCAGCAGCAGCAACCGCAAGTTTGAGAGCCACAACCGCCCCCTCCTCCTCGCAGCACATTTCCTCCTCTGCCCTGCAGACCACGATACCCGTAGAGCCTCTGTACCACACACAACAAACCCGCGGAGCCGCCCTAAACAACCCCCCCCCCTCCATCTCCTCTCCAGTGAAAGGGTAGACTAAGCTTACCCCAGTATCGGACCAACGCGTCTCGGTCCGTCCCTCTTCCTAAATACTGTACCCCTCCTCCCTCTTCTCGCTTCCATTCCCTTCTCCCCTTTCCACCCCTTCACACCCCAATCCCACCCTTTCGCCTTCCCCCGTACTTATACCCACCACCAAACACAGCAGCTTCCTAGCGACGATCTTCCCTCCCTCCCCACCATCCTCTCTCCCTCAACATTCCCACATCCCCGCAACAGAGCCATGGAGAAGACCTCAGCCCGTCAACGTCGCCCACGTCTATTGACCGAAAAGGAGAGGGACCGCTTGGAGGAATTCGTTGATCTCATTCACTACTCTGACCGGTGAGTCCGCAATTCTCCCCGCACAAAGCACCCTCGTCTGACCCGCCCTTCCCCGGGCCTTTAGTTACTCCGATAAGCAATACGAGTACAGGTAGTTACCCCTGGGGCTCGTGCGATCGCGGAGACCCCCCTCCGCCACAACCGGTGCACGGAGATGGTGCTAACTGCTCCTCGGTTATAGACATGTTATGCTACCCAAGCAGATGCTAAAGCAGATTCCCAAAGATTATTTCGACACAGAGACCGGAACTCTCAAGATCCTCCACGAGGAGGAATGGAGAGGGCTTGGGATAACTCAGAGTTTGGGATGGCAGCACTACGAGATTCACGCTCCGGAGCCGCACATCCTACTGTTCAAGTAAACCCGCCGCACTCGTCTTGTTCGATTTGCCCAGTTTGCTGATATCCTCTCTTCCAGACGGCCCAAGAACTTTCAGACGAATGCGCAGTGAAAATGAAGGGAAAGACCGCCGCTTCTCTCCTCTTCTCTCTATCGCCGAAACGGAGTTTTGATGCACTGGTAGTGGCGTCTGGGCAACGAAGTAACGAAAATGGATGAAAAACAAGACGACGACTAGACTACGAAGGCTCCTGTTAATCTTTACCCGTGCCAATAGCGAACTCGGAAGCTACGTTTTTTGCCATCGATTCGTTTTAGCATGGCTTTGATGTTTTTATCTTTCTTTCCCTCTTACGAAATGGGTTGAGATGTAAAGTGGAATAAGCGAACTCATTGGTTTCCCTTCCTTCTTTTTCTTGCCTATCCGGGCTATACGCTATGGATTTCCTTTATCCTATTTTCCCACGCCCGTCTCCTTACTCTTCCTGACTACCGTAGCGATATTGTAAGCCGAGATTGGTTCAAATCCACACCTTTCTTTTCTCCACTTTCTTTTTCTTTTCCCTTTTGCCATTGTGTATATTGCTGCTGTCCCGTAACACCTGTAACTTCATTCGGGCCTGATACCCCCCACATCCGATTATCTGTTTTGTTGTATGTGGGTACGATACGTGGTGGGGATCGTGAAGTTTGGCGATAGCCCTGTCAGTGAATATGGTTGCCGTGGAGAGTGCGCCGGTGTTCTCGACCATGTTGCTCACCCGCCGATCGTGCGGGCCACTCTGACCGTACGAGTATGCCGTAGTTGATCAAGCTCTACGAACGATACCCTCCCTACCGATCCATAGTTTCGTTCGAATACGGCGCCCGTACCCTCAATATTCGAGCAACGGCTGAGTTTACATAGTAATACCGATGGATCACGGTCAACGCTCGCTTGCGATATTGTACTTGTTCCGACCAGGGAATCACCTCGACACCATCTGAAGGGGCTACTGGGGTTCTTTTATTCCTATCTTCCAGATCCTGGCCGGGGAATTATGGGATCATGGTAGTCCCACATCCTAGCAGCCACGTGCTCCCGTGATCCCCTATGGTACTGTATCATACGTATCGGATTCTGGGGCCCACACAGTATGATACCGGTATCATGATCTCTCCCCTCCTTTCCCCTCTCCGTGGTCAAATCCGGGCTACATGACCCTCGTCTGTGCGGGGGAAAAGGAAGGCCATAGGGCTGAAGGTTGGGAAATGTATTGTATGATATTATTATGATATCGGTATGATACCGTATGATAAAGGTGAGGGGGGTGGAGGAGCACGGTATGATACGATGAGAGGTGTGGCTCGTGCTGGCCTTTTGATGGAGGCCTGTGGGTACTGACTTCTGCGCCTACGACATAATAATATCATAATAGTATCATCTCCTTGATGCCGTTTTCCCTTCTTTCGCACGAGCGTCCGGCGGAATTGCACGTTGATGGTCCAAACCTGGGTCCAAGAACGCTGGAGGTGTGATATTGTTGATATCATACTGGCACCGGTACGTACCGGTATCTAATGTTCTCTTGCCCTTGATCCCCTTGGGAAGTCATCTGCCGCAGGCGTTGAAATGTCTGACAGGCAGGGATCATGTGTGAGCCCAATCAGATCTGATTGGATGAGGCTGACGACCACGAAAAAGCTCCAGGTAAAAAGAGCTGGAGCTGCCGGCACCGTGCTTGCACCGTGAGATCCCTTCCGCCCAGCAATCAAATTCGTCAACAACAACATCGAAAGCCTCAGGCACCAAGCTGCTTCCCCGTATCGTACCCAGCCCTATCCATCGCCACGGCCAAAGAGGGTTCAATTCAATGTTATAAAAGCACCGATCGGTATTTACATTCCTTCCGCTCACTTCCCGTCGATACCTTTGACTTTTCATACATATTTCCCTGTCCTCCATCCTCTCGCGTCCATCGCGTGTAGTTGCCTCCCTTGTAGTCTGCCGGGATTTTAACCCTAAACAATCAATTCCGGCACCTTGAGTGAGTCCGGCGAAAGTGTGAACCCATCCCAAATTCATCCGGACCCTAAGCAACAACCGAGATCCCCAATTCGCGCGAAAAAAAAAAAGAGAGAATTCACCAGGAAGGGGAGCACCGACACCAGCGAAACCCATTACCGGTAAGAGAGGGGGGGTCCAGAGGTTTTCTTCATCCGATCCCTCTAAATCATGGCGGATTCCGTACCGGACGACCACAATTCGCACGGCGCCACCTCCTTGGATCCCAATGGCGCTGGTGCGAATGCGAATTACTTTGAGAACATGGGGAGTATGGATTCGCTCGCCACCGCTGCCCACGCTCAAGCAACTCAACAGCAACAGGCTTCCTATAGTCCGCACCAGGCCACAGCTCAACAAGCGGCCGTGGCGGCGGCGGCGGCGCACGGTATGGTGGACCCTTTATTCTACCTGAATGATCCGGCCCAGCAGCAGCAGCAGGCTCAACAGCAGTACTACTCACAGCAGGGCTATGTTCAGGGGCCCGGTGGCGGCTACCCTCAGGGACCTACGGCGGAGCAATGGCAACAGGCTTTATCTCTGGGAGGGAATGTCGAGTTTCAGCAATTGTTCAATCATGTACAACAGTACAACCATTCTCAACAGCTCATGCTCCAGAGGGGTCAACAGGTTGATGCGGGAGCTCTGGAGCAGCAGCAACAGCAACCGCAACAGCAGCAGCAACAGCAGGGAAACCTGGGCCAGCCTACCGATATGGTCCAGCGCGTCCATGCCCAGCCGCAGGCTATTCAAGCTCAGAAGAATCATATCCAGCAACAACAACAACAGCAGCAGCAGCAACAACAACCTCAGGCTCAGCAGCAGGGGAATTTGGGCCAGGTTCCCGAGATGGCCCAACATGCACAATGGCAGGCTCTTCAGGCTCAAGAACAAGCCCAGCGGCAAGAGCAACAGCGTCAGCTCCAAGCTCAACACCTCCACGTGGCCCAACAGGCCCAGCAGCAACAGGCACAGGACCAACTTCTCCAGCAGCAGATACAACAGCAGCAGCAGCCGCGGCCAATTATGACTGCTAGACCACGAGCCATCGTACCGGGTCACGGCGCTTCGGCGGAGTCCTCCAATTTGTCCTCACCATCATCTAATATCGAAGCCACTACCCCCATGGATCTCGATTCGGCGCTAGCGTCCGCGAAACCGTCATCGACCCCCACAGTGAGGACGGTGCCGGACCGGACCCTGATCAAGGGTCGCGCCGACTTCCGCCCCAAAACCGCGATCCCACAGGATCTTACGGCGGAGGAGTACGCAAGGCAGTGCGTCCAAGCGGCAATTGCTAGCAGGCTCCCACCATACGCTTTGCATCCGAACGAGTACGCTCTCCTGAAAGACCACATCAATCACCTGCAGGTCACGACATATCTTCACATACGGAACGGTATCCTGCGATTATGGCAACGGAATCCACTCGTTAGTGTTACTAGGGAGGAAGCGGCGGGTTGTGCAAAGGATTATCGCTTCTTCGATGTGGCTGAGGTGGCATACGAGGTTCTGGTGAGGGGTGGCTATATCAATTTCGGCTGCGTGGAGGTTCCGAGCACCGTACCCGCAAATTTGGGTAATGCGAAGCGCAGGAAAACCATTGTCGTTATAGGAGCTGGGATGTCGGGACTAGGATGTGCTAGGCAGCTGGAGGGCTTGTTTACGCAGTTTGGTGATAGGCTACCCGCGGGCGAGGGGGTGCCTAAGGTCATTGTGTTGGAAGCGAGAGGAAGACTTGGTGGGAGAATATACTCGCATCCGCTGAAAAGCCAGGCTGGAGCGAATTTGCCGGAAGGAAAGCGGGCAACTGCAGATTTGGGGGCGCAAGTCATAACTGGATTCGACAACGGCAATCCCTTGGGTGTCTTGATCCGTGGCCAATTGGCACTGCATTATCATAGCCTTAAGGACAATTCTTCCCTGTATGATTCCGACGGAACCTTGGCTCCGAAGGATCGGGATATGCTGGTTGAGAAACTTTACAACGACATCCTTGACCGGGTATCCATCTTCAAGCAGAAAGCCCCACAACCGAGGACAGTGGAAGGAGATAGGGAACTCATAGACACTGGCAAGGACCCGGCCGGGGAGGGTGGAGATATGATATCAAAAGTTGAAGGGATGGCTGCGGGTGACCTGCACCCACCAACCCCCGTCTCATCCGGCCAGGACAATACATTTTCCGCCAGCGTCGACAAACTCACCGGGAAGCCATCGACGGCTACGGGCTCAAGCGCTAGGATTCCCGGCGCAGAACAGGTACGGAAACTTGGATGGGAGCTTAAGCCCGACACCACCGGACAGGAAACGATCAATTTGGAGCCCCATGGTTCGGATTCACGGCACCCGACACTGGGAAAGACGATGGATTCCGTCCTTCGGCAGTACCAGGACATCATTGATATTGCGCCGCGGGACCTTCGACTAATCAATTGGCATTACGCAAACCTGGAGTATGCCAACGCTGCCAATGTCGACTTGCTAAGTCTCGGCCATTGGGATCAGGATGATGGGAACGATTTCAGTGGGGCGCACGCCATGCTGCTGGGTGGCTATACACAACTTCCAAGAGGACTATGGCTGAGTCCCAGGAAGCTGGATCTCAGGACCAGACATGCAGTCAAGAGGATATCGTATGGTTCCGGCAAAGGAGCAGAAGGCGGCGCGCGGATCCAATGCGAGAATGGGGAGACTCTTGGCGCCGATAAAGTGGTTATCACTGTGCCCTTGGGGGTACTGAAGGCGGAAACGGTAACATTTGAACCGCCCCTGCCGGATTGGAAAAGCGGGGCTATCGAGCGATTAGGGTATGGCCTGCTAAACAAGGTATATAATTTAATCCGGTTTGCTCTGTTCCTTTGCCCCACAATACTGATACGGAGGAAAAGGTCATTCTCGTCTATGATGTGCCTTTCTGGGATGTAGAAAACGATATGGTTGGCCTCCTGAGGAATCCCCTCGGCGATCCCACAATACAAGAGAGCTATGAATCCAATAGAGGGCGTTTCTACATGTTCTGGAACTGCACAAAGGCCAGCGGGAAGCCTACCCTAGGTACACAAAGCCCCGCTTCTCCCGTACTATCACTTGGACACTGACATCTTACTAAATGCATTTATTTCCAGTGGCTTTGATGGCTGGGGATGCCGCCACACAAACCGAGCTCGAATCCGATGACACCTTGATCAATGAGGCGACGACCGCGTTGTCGAAAATGTACTCGGACAAGTCTGTCCCATTGCCCACAGAGACCATTGTGACCCGTTGGCAGAAGGATCCCTACTCTCGCGGTAGTTATTCATTCGTTGGATCCGAAGCCACGGCCGACGATTATGACACGATGGCGAAGCCCGTAGGAAGCTCCCTCTACTTTGCTGGCGAGGCTTCGTGTCGGGCATATCCAGCTACTGTTCACGGGGCGTACATCAGCGGCCTTCAAGCCGCCAGCCAGATAGCGGAATCCATACTAGGCCCAATACACGTCCCCTCCCCACTAATCCCACCAAAGCCCAAGTTTCAAGGCTCTTATAGCTCGCTCTCGGGGTCCAAGCGCAAGGCGGAAGACTCGGTGATCGAGAAAGCCCGCGAACTCAAGTCCGCACGTCTAGAGGTCTACGAGGATCGATTGAAGCAGGCGCTCGCCAAGGCACTCGGCGAGCGACCCACGAAGCCAGGACGCTCGGGCGCCAATCCGTTCCTGCTGTACCAGAAGGACCATTGGTTCATCTGTAAAGCTAAGTGCGATGAGGCTCGGCGGAAGGCAACCAACAATCCCGAGGCGAAGGCTACGAGGAATGAAGTCCGCGCTGCCCTAGGCCAGATGTGGAGGGATGCGCCGGAGGATGAGAAACGGCCATATCTGAACGAGACGGAGAATAACAAGAGGAGCAATGCCGCGAGCGTTACGGAGTTCAAGAAAAAACTTGCCGAGTGGGATAAGGCGGCTGTGAAGTTTAGGAAAGAGTGGAAGGAAGCAAACCCGAGCGTGCCGGGTGAGGACGAGGTATTATTGGCTAGGCAGGCGGAGTTGGAGGTAGGATTCCGGTCGCCAGCCGCTCACCTACTTGTACGCGCTTTAGGATAACGCTTGACTCACTGACTCCACGGGGAATCCACAGATTGCCGAGATCAAGCGAAGTCGAAAACTAAACGGCTTCATCGACTCCGATGACGAGGGCTACTAGGGGGGGAAAGGGTCACGAAGAAAGGTAGTATTAAAGCTGCCCATCTTGTCTAAACTGGAGGTCTCTTGGACATCGTTTGTCACCGCGATGTCGGGCAGGAAGCGTTTATAGCTTTGCTCACCTCTCCAGGGATACTCAGTACGTTCACTAACGGTCTAGTCCAAATCAAATGCCCCCCAGATCCTTCCATTCTCTTCTCTCCCTCTTCCCTTCCTCCCCTCCCTTCTTCATCGCATTACTACCTTTTCATCCCCTTTCCAATTGGCTTCATTTCTCCACAGGGTTTCTCTTCTTTCCTCTTTCGGGCTTTTCCCTTTCGGTACACTTTGCTCTCTCTTTTCTAGCTTGGGTATTTCTCTTTCTTCTTTCCTTTTTTCCCCTTTCCCACATTCTACTTGTAACCATAGCTTGAGATTCCGGAGGGGTTTTTTGTATTGTAGTTTTTCTTTCCATCTTTTATTTTTTCACAATTTTCATTTTCGTTTTTTCGTTTTTCCTCCGATGTTCTGCTTTCTGTCCAGGCCCCTGGTGATGGAATTCGAGAGTCGCGGAGGAAGAAGGGAAAAAGAAAGCTGGTGCATGGTGGGAGCTGGAGGAGGGATTTGTTGAATAGGAAGCCTGTAGATTACCATAGGCTGTGGGTATCATATCGTTCTGCAGGCCCATCCCATGAGTCAGCTTCGGGATCCCCCGTAAAGCTAATACGTTAAACACGTGCGACGTTTCAGTGGGGGAGGGGCCGAAGTCATCAGATTGGCCTGAAAGGATAGGTCACGTCCGGCGGGTTGCGGTGGACATCCGCGCACACGCAGGGGCAAAATAATGCTATTGATAATACTAATAATAATTATAATATGACAATAATAATATCGATAAAATGAGTTATGGCACCGGCTGCCAGTATGGTGCCATGGCACTTGGGGTCAACCGAAAGACGTGACAAAAAATACTCTTGGAATTTTTCCAGCCACAGCCACATCTTTCGGGGAGATATAGATTGATAGGAGTGCTCGGGGGACGCCCCCCTCCAACTCCATGCCTCCAGATTTCGGGCCAGAGTAGTATTAGAGGAGATGGTGAAATCCCGAATTACCCATGTACAGTACTGTACGAGTAAGGCCGTTTTCAGCGTTAACTTACCCTAGCCAAGCCCCAATCTTCTTTGTATACCGGTATATTATGTAAGCAGACCGAATTGCCCACAAGTGTTGATTCCAAGTGGCCAGCACCATACTGTACTCCAGTACTCGTACATGCGGTATCGTATCATACTACGCGGTAGTACGCTGACGGGGTGCCGTACTCGTAGACTATTTCACAAGTAAATACTCGAGAGCACAGTTCCTATCGATACCAAAAGAAGCGTATTCTTCATCATCCGACATTTTCTAATGATGTGAACTACCCTATCATACAGTAGCTTTGGCCTGCCGCCTAACAACCTCCGGAGCCCCAATTTCTTTTGAACCTGAAACCGACCAACCAACTGTGCGCCATGGGAGGTTGCTTGTAGAGAGCAATCCACAACCACCACCACCACCGCTACCGGCACCACCTCCCCCCCCGTTACCACCTCTAACACTCCCTTCCTTTCCCCCATTTCTTCCACCCCCCTCCCCCGCGTTTTGTGTTCGTCCTCGCATACAAGCATTGCGTTTCCGGTTTCTCGCACGGTTTTCCCAGGCCGCCGCCAAAATTAATGGCGATGTCAGCCATCTCAGCACCCGAGAAAGCTCTCCGAGTGCGTGAAAGTGCT